GGGGGGGCAGAAAGTGACAAGTTTAACAACACATCGCTTAATGAGTAAAAAATGAATCCAAGATGTAATAAAGTCAAGATTTAGGAGCATGCAGAGATTCACTATGAGCAAAACCTTGACACAGTTCTAATCATTCACACTCTCCTTTTGGAGTCCCTCTAAAAACAACAACAACAAAGGTGCTTTCCCTTTGCACTATGAAATAGGTAGATTGCAATGCTTTCATTGTCCAGTATCCTAAGCCAACTTTAGGATAAAGACCATCTGTTGTGCATTTGCCTCGCCATTAGCTAGACTTCCATCCAAATGTAGTTCAAATATTGACCAAATATCTAGAACGTGTGCAAAAAACAAAACAAATCAATGTGCATTTCCATCCACTACTGTTATGAGTACAAGTTGGCATCGAGATAAACATCTGGTAACGCTAATTCTCCGGTTGGGTGCCATTGCCGAAGAAGAGGTTGCAATAAGATGACGAAATTAAAAGAGCGCCTGTCGAACTTCAAATGGTAGAAAAGCAATGCAGAAAACATGATGGAAATATGGCAACTATGTTTGTTTCAAGTATTAAAGTGAGAACGTTTTTTTAGTCTGCTGCTATTTTTAGTCTGTAGAAGCTGAAGCTTTAGTGGTCACATGCTGATCCTAGCGCCATTACTTTGGTTTGTTTATCTAACAGTTTGTTTTTCATAGGCTAGCTGTTGGCTCTTAGTTTCATTGCAGAACAAACAGTGGACGACAACAGTACAAAATTAAATACATTCAGCAAAGAACCATAAAACATGGAACCTCATGTTGATGCGCCATCTTGTTTCTTCTTGTCTTGTTTAACAGAAGCTGGGGTCCTAAACACTGCCAAATACCATCCATTTGAACTAAGAGCTGCGTGTTTGAAAATATAAATTGTATGGTTATCTGCCTATTAGACTATTACATGTGTAAAAATAGTGACCACAACATTTTTGGTCACTGCTTGTTAGGAAGTTTCAGACCACCCAAACAAGAGCAAATAGTTTGATAGAAAGAAGTGGCTCACACAGTTGTCTTTGCATAATGTCTTGCTCTTGTGGTGTGAAAGCAGTTTTTAAGACTACTCACAATATCTGTATCTGTGTTTGGATAACATTAGTACGCTCATCCAGCCCTGGTGCAGAAATAACTCCACGACTTGACCAGTTTCAAAGATGCAATGACAGGTTTCAAACAAAAATTATTCAACATGCTCCAACTAGTAGGAAATTCGGCACATTAGGAACATATAACTTTTAGCATCACTAAACCTGTTCTTAAAATGTACGATTGAAATTTTACGTTTACTGCTCTCTTTGGCCAGGCTTCAGATTATATTGGTATTGCTCCATCCTTAACAGCTTTTGCAAAGCCTGAGGTCCTCAGAGAAGGACCTGCTGACTGTTACCGTTACTGAATTCAGGACAAGCATGATTTGAGACTAGGGGCAGGGGCCGTGCCTTTGCTGTCAGGAGCTCTAGAATGACCTGTCTGGGCAGCTAAGGCTCATCTCTATGTTCTGTTAAAGGTTTATACCAAAAAGCAATACATAGACTGATCCAAAAATAATCCACCCCACTGTCCCACTTGAAGTGTGGGGCAGTGACTGCAGAGACCCAGTCCTTTGTATTTCCTATTTTATTTTTCTGTGTGTAGGACTCTTCAGGAATCTTCAGGGTCAGCAAAGAGGCTTTGGACCCCATGTGGGGATGCCAATAAGCAAGGTGTGCAGCCCGTTCTCATTCCCAGGTCAAACACTGCCACTTTGTCACACCCCTGTCGTACCGAGACTCAAAGACCTCACAGGCCTGCAGGCACAGAGAGAACAGACAGCCGACGGCATGCTGAACATCCTTGTGCTGTATTTGTTCAAAATCCGGCACCTTCCCGCAGGTTTGTGAGGAAGTGTGGATGGGTTTATTTGTGTTTTAAAACGTAACAGCTGAGAAACAATCCGAAAATGTTTTGTTCTTCCGATTCATGGCTTTGTTCTCACTAACAGTGGTTCATCTCTTCATTGACTTTATAGATTGCTCGACCGCTCCAGCGCTATCTCTCTCTCCCTATTCAAGTGCATGCTCGCTCGTTGAGCCACAGATGGGCGAATTTTGAATGCAACTGCAACTGATAATGTGACGACATATTATACCTTTAAATGGCTTCTTACAACTCACCTTTATCGACTGACATATCAATAATTTTTGTGCATTTCCATCTTTGATATCTCATTATACAGTGTTGAGTGGGCATTACTGCAATATCATTACTTTCCCCAGTCACGAACAGTGTAAGGGATTCCAATTTCCAAAACAGTAATTATATCACAGCTATTAATCCAGGTAATGCTGCGTTACTGGGTTACCAGAATGCAATTTGTTTTTTGTGCTAGTAAAGCTTATGTAACAATGACATGCGGCAGGTCAATATGAATCTTCACATCATGTTGAGTTGAACTTTCAGGCAAAGATTGCCTCAGGCTGCCCGGTTTTTCCAGGGTTCAAAAGCATGCATTACATCCCCAGTTTAATATTTTGAATGCCAAATTGAAATTTGAATAGATGTCAAGCGCAAAAACTCCATGTGCACCCTCTATTTTGGTTCATGTTTGTGCAGCAGCGCAACGTGCAAAACGGCAGGGTGAAGGTGAATATTGATCAGCAGGTGTGTTGATTATTAAATACTCTGTCAGCCAGTCACATCACTTGTCTCGTGGTTGGAAAAGAGGCTATGATGCGCCCTGGTAACCAGACGTCTCCATAAAAATGCTGAACATCGAGTTATAACCAACCAGTCTGATGTGCATAGATGTCTGTACGGGTATAATTTGCCCAACAATGCTCATTATCTTTTATTTTACATCCAACAGTCTCATTAATAGTATTCTTTAGAGTGTAATATTCGCCAACCCAGTCTACAGTCCTCTGTCAGCATGTGAAAATTAAAAAAATGGATTGTACTGACAAGAAACAACAATTCATCAGGTGAATTGTTTATTTGGCAACATCAACTGCATCACAGCACACAGTCCAATACAGCAAATACTGTATCATTAACAATAAGTTAGTTAAAAGCTTTTTAAATATGTATTTAGTATCTGAATAAACAGAAAATAATTCAGCAGTTTTGGCTGCTTTAAAGTGCTTCAAAATTCTTCTAAAAGTCAAAAGTCAAAAGGATAAAGATGTACGAGGTTTCTGAATGGCAGCCTGTTACAACTTCACTTGTCCGAAAAAAACAACAACTAAATCTTCCTCACATTCCACCCTCTTCGTCACCTCTCATAATACTGCTGATTAATGACAGAAACATTAGAAATTATTTTATTCTTTTAAATTCACACATCTGACTTCTCTGGCATTACTCAGAATTTCAGATTTTATTCTAAAAATCTCTACTTTAACTCAAATCCTAATTTGAACTTTTCTGAAGCATTAGCAAAGAATTTTAGCTCCCTTCATTTAGCAGGTCAGCCACGTTCTTCTCTAAAATTCTGAAAAAGGGTTCTATTCTATATAATTAACATATATGACTTAATAGTGAAACTTTCAAAATAAAATACTGGTAAAACAAATGCAGTCAGTCAATGCGTAAATTGAACAACAAGCTAACATGCTAAAGCACAACACCAGAACAATTTAGTGTATCTGTCCTGGGTTTTGGAGTACGAAATAAAAAATAAAAACTTTTAGAGAGAAGATATAAGATGGCTGCCAACTGTAAGAGCTTAAACTTATATAAAAGCAAAACACAGTTTACTTGTTGATCTAGAATCTTTAAACAGTATCTTCGTTGGGGTCAGTGGGACCAGCCATATTTGAAACATGTTGAGTCCAATAAAAGAATTTGGTTAAAACCATTATATTGTCAATGGTCTTTTAAATCAACACAATGAACATTCAAAAAAAATGACAGAATGGCAGCCATCTTAGTTGTAGCCAGTAATAATTAAAGACAGTGATGTAAGTGTCTCACAGCTCAGTGTCTCCAAGACGGTCCATGTTCTGGACGTATACCGGCAGCTTGTGGTGGACCATCTCGTCTACCTCTCTCTGGTCCCGACTTTCCGTCTGCAGGGCAAACAGCTGGATGAAATAAGACAAGACAGACAGGTCAGATACAACAACAAGAAATATGATAACCCATCTTGCCAAACTTCAGCATGGAGTGTACAGAAATGTGTGCAGCATGTACAGAAAAAAAACAAGGAACTTCAGGACTACTATTCGACCCACCCAGGGTGATAAACATCTCAAATGAATTAATGATTCAAGAATGTAAAACTAAATGTAAAACAAGTACAAAGGCAATACATCACATAAGCAACAATACATACAAAATACAGTTCTAACCAAGAAGTGGAACCATAACATTTGTACAAAAGCATCATTAAAATTCCTCTATAACCCTGAAAAAGTCACAATGCATTTTATTTCACTGTTAACATAAACAAACATGTGTTAAGAACAAGACTATGAAGAGAAAAAAACAAGATGCTTTATCTTAAATAAATATGAAACCAGATCAAAATTAAAGTTAAAACGTTTAACTAAATGGCGAGATAAATGGGGTGATTATTTCCACCAAATGACTGACCTTTTTAAACCAAATGGATGGTACATTTTGAAAATGAGACTTCATTAAAACAAAATTATGTTGCTATGGTTGACTTTTTTTCAAACAAAATGTCATGACTTTTTTCTGACAAAAATGAGATAACATTTTAAAATACAATATGAACCTTTGTGAATTGATTTTTAAAGCTAATCTCCAAGAAACAACCCCGTTTTCCACAAAAAAGGAGAGTTTTAAAAAAAGAATAATTTCATGCTCACCAGCTGGCAGAGCTGTTCGTTCTCCTCAGTCAGACTCGTTGTCTTCTGAACTTCAGCATCAAAACTCAGCAGAACAGGCTGGGGTGACAACCAGTTAAGGACTGGAAACCAGCAAATTCAGAGTTTAAATGACAAACAGACAAAGTGGATCAGTGTGTTGTCCTTAAGAGTTTCAAACATTCATTACAATGTCTTCACTATTAAATTGAATGCAGCTACAAGCTGGACATTAATCTGCAAACTTGTAACATCACGGCTGAGGATTCAGCTGAAGGATATGCATACACTGGAATAGGACGGACAGGAAGTTGTGCAGTGAAACCAGGAAGGTGTCGGCCCACTGGCGGGAGAAGTACGGAGAGAAGGCGGGGTTCTGCTCGGGGGTGGGTATAAACGGCAGAATAAACCAATCACGCCACTCAACCTGACTCTGCAGCTCTAATGCCTGCTTCTGGAAAAACTCCTGCGTCTTCTCAAGGTTCCCTTTCTAAGAGGATGAAAGGACGGAGGTATGGTTGTAATAGAGATTTTTAACTGTTTTGTAGAGACTGGTGTTTTCTTGATTTCTCTACATTATGTTACCTGGATGGTGTTGATGACGTAGTATCTGTACAGGCTGGTTCTCAGTTTATTGACTGTGGACCTGTAAACATCCTCCAGTCTGCACAACAGACGTCTGTCCAAGTAAAGCCAGTACTCCTTCAGACCAAACAGGTCAAAGCTCTGAACAAACTGCTGTAGCTGATCGATGATCTTATCCACCTGCAAATAGATGTTTTAGATTAAAGACAAACCTAAAAATAAACAGCATTTTCTTAGGTTAGGGACAAGAACCATTAAACAAATTCTTCACATAAAAATAGATGCATCCATATAGCGTACCCTGAAGCCTTTCTCCTTGTCGGCTTTGATATCGGTGTCCAGGTGTTTCAGAGTGCTGGTGAAGCCGCGGTAGATTAGATACTCTCTGACATGTTCGTCTGTCCTCTCTACTGCCGACCCCATAGTGACCTCTGACCCTGTGAGGTACAATATAATACGTTTTACTGTTAATTTACAACCAGAAAAAAAATGTTTGGTTTTCTGTAATCGTTCAACTGCTCGACCACATCGACCACATAAATGCCTTTGATGTTGTGTGAATGTTTCTCAATTTTATAGTTCATTTTTATATGAAACAGAGTTGGTTTGTGTGGCAAGATACATTTTAGAGGAACATTACTATGAAGTCCAGTCTGATCTAATACTTTGGGCAATTTTGTTTTTTCCATAACTCACATGAAGAGCAACATAGTGGTTTAACACTAGCATAGCTAAATATGTCCCTGTTATCAAGTTCAAATCATTTTCTGAAATTGATTACTCATTTATATCACTCATCTTAAGTCTTATCTAAATCCAAGTTTCATTTTTCCATACTTCTGGTTTCAAGACATGGACACGACTCATTACTGTATTGGCAGATTTCTTCACTTGTTTTAAGAAATTTACTATTTTAGGACGCTGCTATCAATAGAATTGACATTTCTTTGTACATTTGAAAAGATTTTAATATTTTGGGAGAATACATGTTAAGCCTCAAGAGAGATCCCTCAGGAGAGTAAAATAATGTATCTTGGTCTGATAGAGGAAATAGTTAGAGGTGCTCCAATTCAACTTTTTCTATCCCTATACTGATTCAGATACATCAAATCAGGGCTTCTGTAGATACTGAGTATACCGTCTGATAACAGTGCTCTCTTTTCCTCCAAATAATAAGTGGAAATAGGAAGCCCCCTACATCGCTGTCAAATTGTATTTGATGCCTGCAAAAAACAACAAATAAAAGCTGGTATAACACTGAACATCCCAGACCAAAACAATAGATGGAATTAGAAAGGGAAATATTTTGGAAAGAAAAACTGACTTTTTCCCTGAGGACTGGAGAAGAGAAATGGATCGTCTTCACTGCAAACAAGGAAGCAATCATATCTGCATCTGGATAAAACTAACAACACTATATCTAAGTAAGGAATGTGTAGTCCACTTGTTTCATCTGTATTGATGATTTTGCCTTTTTTTATAAAATATCTTAAAATTGTTCTAAATAACAAATGGAAAAACATGTTTTTAAATGACAAACAGAACAAATCATATCAATTATTCATATTCACACTGATCATTACCCATATTACATTTAAAATGTCATAAACAAACAATAATAGCCACCTTAACAGCATCACATAATATATATTGGGCTATTAATATCACACAACCAGTTAAGTTAGTGTTATTTAGACAGGAGACTGCAAATGACAATATGAGACTACTATTGACTAACTAACTAAAAACATACCGCTACAATGCTGAATCTTTTTGGATAAGATTTCTATGTAAGATGAATCCTGGCCAAATAAAAGACGAATAAATAAATGACTCAATACATAAATGATCAAAAAATGCACAAACAAAATGGATTAAAAATAAATGTAAGCAATAATTACATGATATAATGGGACATAAATTAATATTTCCATTTTAATTGGGTTAGGTTAACCTAACTGCTCTAATGCTCTTTTTAAACCCCTTTTATTTATTTTTATTTTTATCTTTTACCCCTTACTTCTTTTAATCCTCTTAATTGTTTATGTTTTTAACCTTTTTGTTTTTTAAATTTTCTTTTCCTAGGTTATATTTAACTTGTATATTGGGATTTTAACCATACATGTTTTTTAAAGAAACTCAGAGACCTTTTCAGGAAAATTCTCCACGTGTGCCCGCTCCCCCGTCAAGAATATCTCACTCCCAACCTAACCTAACCCAGTGTTGAAAGGCAGATAGTGATAGCCAGCAAGCTATTGGGTATAGTCAGATCTTGGCACTGTGGATCAACCAATAGGCAAAAAGTTGACCCCATGACACACAGTCCCCTTATTTCCTTTTAATATATTATACTATATTCATCCCGTCGTAAGGGGGAAATTTTGTCTCTGCATTTGAGCCATCCCTGTATTTAGGGAGCAGTGGGTTGTCCACGACAGGCGCATAGTGAAGCAGAAATGCATTGAGAAATGTAAAAAGAAATTTATGAAGAAAATAATACATTAATAAATAAGTTTGGAGAAATAAAAATAATTAAAAATGCAAAGGAAAAACTTTGAGTAAATTAAATAATTAACAAAAACATAAATAAACTCATGAACAGTCAATGAAATAGTGAATAAATGAACTTTATAAATAAATGTAAAACTATATCAATAAATGTCAAAGTTGATGAAAAGAAACAACTAAAAGGGAAAATTAAATGGAAGAGTGGATAAATACAGGAATTAATACAAAAGTAAATAGATAAAGAAGCACATTATAAGAGAAATATGTTATGTCACATTTGATTAATTAATGCAGATATATATTTGTTATGATATTTTTGCTACATTTAATGTCATTAATATATTCATCAAGTCATTAATTTATTTATTTATTGTGTCAGGTTACGTCCTCCACAATTTCCACCCAACTTCTTAGTATTATCCCAACACACTTCGGTTCGGGTTCGTCCTAAAGTACAAATTCTGTACTTTCAAAAATGTCACAAGTCTTAGCGAAGAGTAGCTTTTGCCTATAGAGTGTTGAACTGCTCTACTTTTGTTACATGCTTAAAGCATGACGTTTCTGCAGTTAGTCATTTTGATTCCTTCCGGTCTCTCTTACCAAAAAAACGTTCATGTCAAACCCCGTTAAAACATCTCATGACCTGGACACATGGCGTTATATCATTAAATAAACTGTCGCATTCACTCAACATCTGAGTAAACACCATATATTGGTAGCGTCGCTCAAGATACCTGTTAAATACGAAGTGTCCCAAAAGCTCCAGTTAACGTTAGTACCTAACTTAGATTCCACAAAGATGTTTGCCACCCAAAAAAACGATTAAGTCATACTTTTTTATATTCCGAAAAAACAATGCATAGCATATGTATCACGTTAATATAAGAAAGGCCTTACATCGTGTCTAAATATGTAGTTACGCACCTCAAGTAGCGAATTTGTATTGCAGTTGGGTTTCTTCGTACAAGAGAACAGCAGTTACCACCGTCAAACCTTCAACCTGCGCAAACGGAATTAACGTTATTTAGATCCAAGTAACACATCATCTGCTACTCTGTTATAATCTTAATGTAATACGATGTGAAATATTTCCAAAAACAAAGATAACATTCTGTTCCGGGTGTGTTTGTTATCTCCAGTCATATGACGAGGTCTTCTTCTTCTTCTTCTTCTTCTTCTTTGAGGTTTATTGGCGGTTAGCAAACAATGAATTAGTGCATTACCGCCACCAACTGGTATGGAGTGTGGATTAGGATGTCTAATAGGCTACTTATATACAAATTTAAATTCAAAAGTAAAAGAAAAAAGAAACAAAACAGAACAACGAGCTCATATTTTCTTAATAATATTAATTAATCTAAGATATTTAAATAACACTTGAAACATTCACTTTTTGAGTTATTTTGCAGAATATCCACTATATCCAACTGTACCTTCATCTTGCCGAGGTCTCCAATCAGCTGCCCTCTTTCCTGCTCATATTTCTGACATTGTACAATTACATGCTCTATTGTTTCCTCTTGCTCACAATAGTCACATTTCCCTGTTTCATGTTTACCTATTTTTTAAGCATACCGTTTAGGCCAGTATGTCCAAATCTAAGCCTTGATATTACCGTTTCCTCTCTCCTGTTCCTTCCTGCACATCTCATTTCTCCCACTTTCCTCTGAACTTGGTAAAACCATTGTCGTTTCCTGTCTTCTTCCCATTGCTTCTGCCACCTTTCCTTCAACCTCTGTTTAATGATACGTTTCTGATTTACTGAAGCTGACTGTAAGATTAGTACAGCTATTTTTTGTGGCCTCTTTTGCAGCTTTATCTGCCATTTCATTTCCTATGACCCCAATATGTGCTGGTACCCATAGGAATATGACTGTCAGACCCATCATTTAAATTCTGTATGTTTGTTGTATTTCAATAAGGATGTCTGGTCTACTGTCTGAATGGCTGTTCTGTAAGCTGGCTAATGATGAGCTTGAGTCTGAACAAATGATTGCCCTTAATGGTCTTGTGTCCTCTATCCACTGTATTGCTAATATTATTGACAACATTTCCACTGTGTACACTGATAGTCCCTCAGTGATCATTTTACCTATTTTAATATTAAATTCTGGGACAATAAATGCCACTCCTGTTTCCTAAATTCTTTGATGCATCTGTAAAAACCTGGATATAACTGTGGTAACTGTCGATATGTGCCTGTATTGTATGCCAATTGAAATGATTCGCTCTACCCTTGTTCTTCTTTTTTAATAACGTAAAGTCTACTGTTGCATTAGGAAGTATCCACGGTGCTATTGTTGGTAATGGGACTGTTGGACTGAAGTTTAATTAAGCTATGCCAAGTTATGTTGCTTTCTGTGCTACTGTCCAGCCAAAGCTTCTTGTCTCCCTCTTCTCCTTTTCCCAGCAAGGTTCTAACGTTTCTTGTGTTGGATGTTCTTCACTGTGTCCCTGTAGATTTGCCCAATAACTCAATGCTATTCTTCTTGTTCTTGTTCTTGTTCTTGTTCTTCTGTGGTGTTTAACGGCAGCTTGCATCCTTTTTGTTGCATTACTGCCATCTTCCGGTTTCAGTCAGTGTATATGTGCCCAACTACTAAACATCAGTGTCGTTGTTCGCAAGAAGTTTGTAAAGTACCTTCTTCCCAGATTACTAGATCCCTACCCTATTATATTATTCAACTCTCTTCCTCTCATCCCTAGTCTGCATTTCTCCCAGCATGCCCCTCCTTTCTCAGCTGTGTCTAATACAGGAGGTGATAACATGTTGTACAGTTTCTGGTGCCTGGCACAGAGACCGGTTGGATGCTTCCCTATCATGTGCAGTGTGCTGCGTAGATTGCTGTGCCCTATTCTTAATCTTGATATTGGAACCTCTTCTCTCCTGTTTCCTCCCCTGTATTTTACACTGCTCACTTTACTCTGAATTGAATGTAGGTGTCTCCCCCTCGTCTCCTGGTCCCAATGTTGTTGCCATACTTTGTTGATATTTTTCCTGATGATGCCCTTCCCCTCTGCTTTGGATAACTTGATACAGATGTCTACTTTGTTTTTCTTTAGTGCTTGTTTGGCTAGTTTGTCCACTTTTTCATTTCCTCTGATACCTATATGGGACGGTATCCATATAAATATAACTTCAGTGCCTTGTTCTATTGCTCTAGAGTGAATTGATGTTATTTTTAATAACAGATCTTGTCGAATATTGGACATACCTGACTTCAGACTAATGAGTGCAGACATGGAGTCACTGCAAATAAGGACTTTGCCTGGTCTGTGTTGGTCAACCCACTCTAGGGCCAAAAAAATTGCATACAATTCAACTGTATACACAGCTAAAAAATTCGAAGTGCATTTAAATATTTCAAATTTGTGACAAAGAACTGCAACAACAGATCCTGTACTGTCTGTAGATGGATCTTTTGATCCATCAGTAAAAACATGCACATGCTCTGAGTATTTTTATCTGTGTACTCATAGAACTCACTCACATCAGTATTTTTTTTTTACCTTAATTTGCAGCAACTCCATATCCACCTCTGGTTCTTTTAGCAACCACACAGGAGTTATTAGCCAAATGACAGAAGGGAAAGCTCTATATCAGAGACTCCTAGGATTCTTGCTGTTGCTTCTCCTATCCAGCCAAAACTTGTCTTTGGTACTTTATGTCTTTCCCAACATGCCTGTAATACTTTTTTAGTTGGATGATTATCTTCATGACCGCTCAGATTTATCCAATAATTAACCAACAGTTGTTTTCTGCGAAGACACAATGGCATTTCTCCTGTCTCTACTTGGATGGCGCACACAGTTGATGTTCTTCCTGCACCTATACAAACTCTGAGGGCCCTGGTCTGGATAACATCTAGCTGTTTAAGTGTGGTTTCTGATGCTGAACCAAATGCTATACTACTATAATCTAATCTGGAGCTTTGTAAATGTGTATCAGGGATGCAACCTCTGGTCCCCAGTCCAACCCTGCAGACATCTCATTACATTTATAACTTTTTTAGACTTATCACTAACGTTTTTAATGTGGTCTTTCCAATCTGCTGTCAAAGTGTACTCCTAAAAACCGAAATGACCATTTCTAACTTGTTTTCATACAGATTCAGCTGAAAGTTTCTCCTAGTTCTCTGTCTCATAAAGAACATTACTTTCGTTTTTTCAGATGAGAATTTAAATCCCTTCTTGCAGTTTTTGAACATGTTCCAAATGTCTTCCTTTTTTCTATAAGGTCCCATCATCTGCAAATAACGACCTTTCTATATCTGGTGAGACCGTTCCAAAGATGTAATTTATTGCAATTAAGAATAATATAGGACTTACCACACTCCCTTGTGGAGTCCCATTTTCTACCTCATATTTTCTTGACCTTTCAGCTCCTACTTTTACCTGGATAGTTCTTTTATTTAAAAAGTCCATTATCCAATTAAACAGTTTTCCTCTGATTCCCATTAAATACATTTTTATCAAAATACCTTCCCTCCATAGCATATCATAAGCCTTTTCTACATCAAAAAATACTGCTGCCACAGTTTCTTTATTAACCTGTGCCTTTCTTAACTCATCCTCTAGACCAGCGGTTCCCAAACTTTTTAGGCCACGCACCCCCTTCTACATCCCAACTGGGTTCACGCACCCCCAATCCCCCACACCTTAAAAAAAAGAAGCAACAGAGCCTATTTATAGCCGCATAGAAATCGGACCAATGAGAGAACAGTTTGCTCGCGCGTGGCGTTTGTTTACAATATTTAGTCCGCTGTTAAATGTTGCAGTGTGAACACAAACCGAACAAAGGGGCAACTGCAACATTGTATCATATTATCCCTGAATCAGAACAAAGCAAACGAACTGAAGGTGTGAAAACGCCCTGAAACACTGCAACAAAGTTTCAATAAATTTCAGTTACACAAGGCATCACTTTGAAAGAGCAATAAGGATGGCGAGGACACACGCACAGGCTCAGAGGCAGATTGCATCACATTTAATTTACAATTAACCATACATAGAATGAGACTGCAGTTGTTTTGGGCTGTTTTGTAACTCCTCCAATTTCGATAGAAAAAATGTAAGGGGCTTTTGATTTGCACTGGCATGCTAGGTGTTCAGGTGGCGACGTAAATAAGAGGGCTTCAGACAGCTGTTAGCCAGAACCTCATTGCACACCACGCACTTTGGTTTTGGGCAATCTGCATTGCCAATCCAAGTGAAGCCCAGACCCAGATCATTTTCATCATATTTCCTCTTTTTTTTCTTTTTTTTCTGATGCTCACTCTCGGTTCCTCTTTTTTCACCCTGACTCCGCGATGATCGCGGAGTCAAGGTGAAAAAAGTTTGAACACCCCTGCGGTAAAATAACAATAATGTCAGGAAGTAAAGTGACATTTTTTTTATCAACCTGACAAAATTACCTTCTTGTGGAAAGAAAAGAAAAGAAAAGGCAACACTGTAACTTCTTTACATTCTAATACAATGTAGCTTCTTTACATTCTAATAGAATGTAAATAAGTTACATTCTAATACAATGTAACTTCTTTACATTCTAATAGAATGTAAATAAGCTACATTGTATAGAATGATTCTGTTGAAGTTATTCCTTTTTTAAATGTTTTAGACGAGTCACTAATCACTTTAAAATAGTGATTATAGCTGATTTAACTTACAAACATTAGATTGATCTTCTCATGTCACACTCTTTATACAATGATATCAATTCATCCCCGTTTTATTGATATCTTACGAAAAATTACTCCTCACTTTTTGTGCGTTTTTCCTGCAAACGTCCAGCAACATGAGTCTGTTTTCGCTTGCATACTGTCTTTTCAAAATAAACTTCCATCTTCACAGGAAACAACTAAGGTTTAGCCCTATGTGCTCCTGATTTGTCTGTGCAATCCCTTCCTCCTTTTCGGTCTCCTCCGTCTCATCTTTCCCTGACTCCGGCTCGATTTCTTCTCCCGGTTTCTCCCTAACGCACCTCTCCCTTCCTCTCGCCTCCGATTCCTCACTCTCTCTCTGTCCCTCTCCTCTTTTATGACTGATAGCTTCAAATGTCCCACCTGACAGTTTCCCCAATTTCAGCCAGTTTAGCATATTTGCATGAATGTTGCTGAATGAATGAAGTTAGCTGCTAGCTGACGTTAGCTGCACAAGCTAGGCTAGCTAGTGTACGTAAA